GTGGTATTTACTTGCCGTTGGGTGTTTTATGTTTTGCGCTATAAACAAAAAAAAGAGCAAAAATATGAAAAAAGAAAGGTTTTCTTTGTTTCTATTATAACATTTAGCAAACAGGTAATTTTTCTCCTTCACTGATGTGCGTTGATGAGGCTGCACTGATAGGCGGCACTGATGGGCACTGATAGGCAGGTGGCATGGATAGGCAGCACCTCTGGGCACTGATGAGCTGGCACTGATGAGGTGGCACTGATAATGCTGCACTGATATGCAGCAATGATGGGCACTGATAGGCAGCACTGATGGGCACTGATAGGTGGCACTGATGGACAGCATTGATGGGCACTGATGGGTGACACTGACTGGCAGCACTGCTGGACACTGACTGGTGGCACTGCTGGTCACTGATGGATGGCACTAATGGCAGCACTGATGGGTGGCACTAATGGGGAGCACTGCTGGGCACAGGTGGGTGGCACTACAAGGCACTTACAAGGCACTTATGGGCACATCTGGGTGGCACTGTTGGGCACTGCTGCTGGGTACTTGTGGGAGGCACTGCTGGACACAGGTGGGCGGCACTGGGGTGGCATTGATTGGAGGACAATTGATGATCATTGCCAATCCGTCCTCTGACAATTGTCAGTTATCGGCAGTACTTTCCTCACGCTGTGACAGCGTGAGATAAGTGCAGTCGATAAACGGCAACTGCATTTACCCAGTTATCTGCTGTGTCATTGGACACTGCTGATCACATGGTAAAAGGCCGCTGTGACTGGCCTTTTACCACATCATGTGATCAGCTGTAGGAAACAGCGATAATGGAGATCGCCGGGTGCGCACCCCCTGAACGCTGAAGGGCACGTTCTGGGAGGACGTCATATGACGCCCTCCCAGAACTGGGCAACCGCGCTGTAGCTGTAATTCGGCTATAGCGCGGTTGGCAAGTGGTTAATTGGACAAGCTGAACTTAGAAGCTGATTGATTATGATGCATAGCTGCACACATTTAATGTGCTCCAGTTTTAGTAAATCTCCCCCTATTTGTTCTCTAATCTAAACCGTGACTTTCTAGAATGATCTGTATTTCAATCAAGATTCAATCATATTTAATTACCTTTAAATACCTATAATCCTTTTTAATGTATCGACCAGATTTAACAAAAATACTTTCAAAGGTATATACAACAGACCAAAAGAAACAGATTAGGGCCCAATCACACTTAGACATAGGTGTTTGGGTTTTTTTTTTCCCCAATTATACTTACCTAGGTGGATGCAGCATTGGTCCCCCACTAGCTCAAAGGGTGAGAACTCAGCGATCACATGACTGCTGATCACTGAGTTCTCTCAGCCGCTCAGAGCAATCACTGCTGTCTACTCTGCTCACTGACAGGCTGAGCCAGGTGCCGCTCCAGACTCTGGCGTGGATTCCGACTTTGACAAGATCTTTTCCCAGCCTGGACGGGCTGAGTGATGTCAGTCACACAGGAGCCGCACTCCTGTGATCTACAGGAGAAGTATAACCAAAGGTGCTTTGGCTGTACTTCTTCTTTAAGAATTTTGCTGGGGTTTGTTAAAGAATGTGTAAGGCCAACGTTTTACTTTATTACCTGGTGTGTGCCTGCTGTACCATGTACGTGTATGAAAAAGAATCCTGTTCTCTTTGTATTGCGTCCTTTGTGTGACCAGGCATGATAGCACAGCATGGTCAGATTTCTGGCTGTGCTGAGAACTCAGCCTTGCTCTACCCCATTGATCAAACTTGTGCTGACATACCCCCCCACCCTGCACAGCCATTCACTGAGAAGATCAGTGTGCAGCTGTTTATCCGCCCTCACCTCTCTAAGCAGCTGAGAACAGAGAGTGTGTGACCACTTAAAAGGAGGAGAAAGGGTATGTACAGTATATTTTTTACATGTATGTACACACAAATGTTTCACCTTTAATTTCTGTTTTAAACTGTACCTGTTGTTTTACAGGGTGAAGGTTTACATATACTTTAATGCACATGCTCAATCACCGGGTCCTGCCCGGGGAATCCGGGCAGGACCCGGTGATTGACATCCATTGGTGCCAATGGCGGTGCGGGTATGGTGGCACGTGCGGGCCCCCTACCCAGTAATGCAAATCATGTATATATACATGATTTTGCGCAGCCCTGCAGCCCTGTAGCAGTAGTTCTACTATACAATGGCAGGCACGCATTTCATGTGCGTTGTTGTAGCACAGTCCATTCATTATGGATTGTTAGGGATTCTGTATATATACAGTAGCCCTACAGAACGGACAGTCCACAGTCCACATGTGTGTATCTGTTGCTTCACTACAAACAAGAAACAGGAACTTAGAAGACATAGAATGTGAACATAGATGGAGCTACAAACTTATCAACACTGCCATCTACTGGTTGAAGAATATATCTCTGCTGAATGCCGAAGTAGTTGTTGCAAAATACATGAACATTGTATTCCAACATGAATGCACTGCCAATACACTGAAATAGATAAAAAAAAGTGCATGGCCCTTTTTTCACAACTCCCACTTTATGTGGTGTGATGCAGTGATTTGGGCTCTGCTGTTTAATGCAGTTGGGTGTCATACACAATGAACGACAAGACAACACATTTAGAGCATATACGTTGCCATACATTGTAGTAACACATGTTAAAATGCTAAAATATTGTATGTGTGGTGCCACAATACACAAGTGTCAAAGGGCCATTTGTTAGGATTTGTACATACCCTTTGTCTGGCCAGAGACAGACAGATGTTCCACTGAGAGTGATGGGCCTTAAGATGTCTGTTCATCCTCAACTGTATGTCTCTGACCCCAGGAAGCCACCATGATATTCTAAACTGTTATTTCTTTTTCCTGTAGTGCAGTTTACAACTGCTCTCACTGAGATTTTCTGACAAGCTGTAAAATCTTGGTATGCAATATCGAGTTCTTCTGAGAGTAAGCTATGCAATAGTCAAGTACAGAATGTAACTTGCAAAGACAGGCCATAAATGCCCACTTTGAATTATTTCAGAAATTAAAAGAACTAAAAAAAGATCTTTTCATTTTCTGCAAATCATGTCTAACAAAGACAATGCAAGTAGCATAATAAAAAAAATAGGATTAAAATGATCAGCTGACATCAGATCACTGCCAGATGGATTCTGATTGGTTGCTATAAGTCACTGCCTTTAATAAGATTTCTTTATTACATTAGGCCACTTATGTATTTCTAACTGTTGCCGTAAATTTTTTTTCAGCTGTTACCCAAGCTGCTGCATTGAAAATTTTCTAGTTCTGCAAGAAACAGTAGGTCACATTTGTGTATGGAAAAAATAGATTTAAAAAACAATAGCCTTCCATTCAAGTTGTCCTGCTATAAACAGCAGTAAGCATTAGATAATGAATATCAGGGGCGGACTGACAACTCATAGGGCCCCCAGGCAATTGGGGATCATGGGGCCCCTGTGTCATTGCCCACACTCAAAACACACCCAAAAAGCCTATAAAAGGTACCAGGGGCATTTTATGGGGCCCCCTACTGACCCCGGGCCCTCGGGCAGTGCCCGAGTGCTCGAATGGTCAGTCCGCCCCTGCTTAATATGTAATATATGACAATAAGAGTACAGCTACTTGTTATACTGATAGTAAAAATTATACTGGTTTGGAGGAATTTGGTTGATATAAGCTATATGTGCTTGACAAAATGTTTGCTCTTTTTTTTTTTGGCCGTATCCACCTTCTGTAATAAACCCTCCATCTCTCTTTATAGATATTTTTGTCCTTCTGCTGTCCAATCTATACTTATCTATGATTTCATGAAAATATGCTTGCTAGACTGTATGGGTTATTGATTGTGCCTGTGGCTGAGTCTTGAGGCTGGGGGAGGAAAGGATTCTGAAACCCTTGTTCTGGCTGCTCCTAACAATTATTATTTTTATTACCTCTATTAATTTTCAATGTGAACTGATAGTTTTCAGCATTCAGAAGGGAAAAGGCAATCAATGATTCGATAGTTATGGGGTTATATGACTGGATTCAGATGGAGATTCTTTTTGCTTGAATTTAATGGTGTTGTACGGTTTAGCACCATAAAAGAAACTGATAATGGGTTGGACTTATAAGGAGAGACCTAGTGAACTGGAGTGTGGTGAACCCAAACACACAAATCAGTCAGATTTACTATGCTTCACCTTGTAGGCAGTGCATTTTTACTATAGTAGAATGATATTAGCAAAACAGGCCACGATGCTCAAGCTCACTCACAACCTTAAACAGAACTGGCCATCCCAGATTCAGAGTTATATCAGATGGTAGTAGAGAAGCACTAAAGTTTATTTTAGCAGGGCAGTGCCAGGGTCAACAGCAGTTCTATGAGTACCGAGCTCTGTTTTGAGGATGTTATATCTGTCAAAAAACATGAAAATAAAGTAAATATTCTCATTTTGAATACCACATACAGACAGCTTACATACAGGCAGGATACAAACTAAATGTCAGTTTTAGTAACTGATAAAAACTTGATAACAATCAATAATCAAAAAAATAATAAATATCTATTAACCACATGCCGCCCAGCCCATGTATAAATATGGCGGCAGGGCGGCACGGGCAGGCAAAACCACGTTTTAAAACAGGTAGGAGGCGCGCGTGAGGCGCGCCGCCGCCCTACCTGTCCCGCCGATCACAGCCGCGGATGTCAGTCGCCGGGTCACAGCCGATCGTTACTGGCTATCTCCCGGCGATCGGTGGCAATCAGTGACAGAGAGCACAGCTGCATTAGCTGTGCTTTCTGTCACTTCCCTGACAGCTCGAGAACAAGCTGATCGGGACAGAAGAGTTTCTCTCTCCCGATCAGCCTGTCCCCATCCAGCACACCCCCCCCCCCCGCCCCCTAGTAAAACACTCCCCCTCACACAGATAACCCTTCACAGAAAATTAAAGTTAACCCCTTCCTCTCCAGTGCTATTAGTACAGTGTCAGTGTTTTTTTTTTTGCACTGATCACTGTATTGGTGTCACTGGGGATGTCAGTGACCCCAAGTCAGTACCCCCCCAATGTCAGAATGTCTGCCGCAGTCCCGCCATAAGTCGCTGATCGCCGCCATAAGTCACTGATCGCCGCCATAAGTCGCGGATGTCAGTCGCCGGGTCATAGCCGGCCGTTACTGGCTATCTCCCGGCAATCGGCGGCAATCAGTGACAGACAGCACAGCTGCAGTAGCTGTGCTTTCTGTCACTTCCCTGACAGCTCGAGAACAAGCTGATCGGGACAGAAGAGTTTTTCTCTCTCCCGATCAGCCTGTCCCCATCCAGCACACACACCCCTGCCCTCTAGTAAAACACTCCCCCTCACACAGATAACCCTTCACAGAAAAATAAAGTTAACCCCTTCCTCCCCACTGCCATTAGTACAGTGTCAGTGTTTTTTTTTGCACTGATCACTGTATTGGTGTCACTGGGGATGTCAGTGACCCCAAGTCAGTACCCCCCAATGTCAGAATGTCCGCCACAGTCCCGCCATAAGTTGCTGATCGCCGCCATAAGTCACTGATCGCCGCCATAAGTCGCTGATCGCCGCCATTATTAGTATAAAAAAAAACTAAAAATCCCAGTATCTTTCCCGCCATTTGTAAACGCTATAACTTTCACGTAAACCAATTAATTTACACGTATTGGGTTTTTTTTTTTAGCAAAGACATGTCGCAGAATGCATTTTGGCTGAAATTTATGACTAAATTTGATTTTAAAAATTTTTTTTACTGGACATGTTTTATAGCAAAAAGTCCAAAATATTGTTCTTTTTCCTCAAAATTGTCAGCCTTTTTTTATAGCGCAAAAAAATAAAAACGCACAGGCGATCAAATACCCCCGAAAGAAAGCTCAATTTGTGGGGAAAAAAAGGATGTAAATTTCATTTATGTACCGTATTGCATGACCGCGCAATTGTCCGTTAAACTAGCACAGCGCTGTATAGCAAAAAAATGGCGTAAATTGCAGTATCTATACCATAGTTTGTAGACGCTATAACTTTCACACAAAGCAATCAATATACACTTATTGGGAGTTTTTTTTACCAAAAACATGTAGCAGAATACATTTTGGCCTAAATTTATAACCAACTTTGAGTGTACTATATATTTGTTATAGCTGAAAGTAAAAAAATATTGTTTTTCTTCAAAATTTTTGGCCTTTTTTTGTTTATAGCGTGAAAAATAAAAAGCGCACAGGTGATCAAATACCACCGAAAGAAAGCTCTATTTGTGTGAAAAAAAGGACGTACATTTCGTTTGGGTGCAGCATTGCATGACCGCGCAATTATCAGTTGAATTAGTGCAGCGCCGAGTAGCAAAAAGAGGCCTGGTCATTAAGGGGGGTAAATCCTCTGGAGATCAAGTGGTTAAACTGGTTGTTTTTTGTATGCAGTCCCAGTATGTGAAAATAAGGTGCAAGCGTGCTAAATTCTTGATTGTGAACTTCGTATTAAAGTGACAAGTGCTCCACTGTGCTCAAAACCGGTGCCCCACATGGATTTGCACTCACCGTCATCCCATGACTCACCTATCTCTAGGATGGTCACTAGCGCTTTTTTTGGGAATATCCCAATGTACAACGTGATGTTGGTGACCGATATTCTTTCATATGTGCTCCACAGCATTGCTAATAGTAACCAATGTATCTTCCCATGGCTTAAATAGCGTTGTTGATAGTAACCAGTAATCCTTCTCAGATGCTAAATTAATACCAGAGATCCTCCTCTCCTCCACAGGCAATTTTGCTAATTTTCCGCATAGAAATAGAAACAAAAACGGATATCCTACAGTGTAAAACTGTAAAACCTTTAATAGCAGGGACAAATAGTAAAAATGCAGCTCACAAAAAAAGTGCCTATGACTTGGAACTAAGTGTATTCAGCTTTGTTGCTTGTGAATGGAATCAAAGATGGCCGCTGCGCTCCAGCGTGCGTTCCAAAGGGCAGCAGCGATGACGGCAGAAGTTGTGTCATCAAACCACGACACGTTTTGATAGGTGGTCATGGGATGACGGTGAGTGCAAATCCATGTGGGGCACCGGTTTGAGCACAGTGGAGCACTTGTCACTTTAATACGAAGTATACAATCAAGTTAAATGTTTTTGGAACTGATAACTTCAAAACTGTATGGTGATACAAAGGTGAGAAGTACAGAGAGAAATGCATGGTGCCTACAGTGGTACATGGTGGTGGCAGTGTCCTTCTGTGGGGCTGCATGAGTGCTACTGGTGTCAGGGAGCTGAATTTCATTGATGGTATCATGAATTCACAGATGTACTGCTCTATATTGAAAGAGAAGCTGCTACCATCACGTTGTGCACTTTTCCAACATGACAATGATCCAAAACACACATCTAAGGCATTTCTGAAGAAGAACGGGGTAGAAATGATTCAGTTGCCAAGTATGTCTCCTGATCTGAACCCAATCGAACACCTATGAGGAATTCTGAAAAGACAAGTTGAGCATCACTCTTCATCCAGCATCCAGGCTCTAAAAGAGGTTGTTCTTGAGGAATGGAAAAAAATAGATGTTGCAATATGTCGCCAACTTGTTCATTCCATGCCTAAAAGACTTGGTGCTGTCCTTACATATCATGGAGGTCATACAAAATACTAGATGTAGTAGTTTTGTATTTATTTTTACATCAACTAATTTGAGTAAAACTGAAGATTTTGTCATCTAAGTTATATTATTAACCTTACTTTCATGAAATGAGCTAAATAAATGTTGTATAAAACTCAGTTTTGTCAAAAGTTTGGAAAGTGTTCTTATGTTCATTGAGATATTGAATAAAATCTCTTACTTTTCAAAAGGGGTGTACTCATTTATGCTGAGCTCTATATGTATGTTTATATATATATATATATACACTATATTGCCAAAAGTATTGGCAAACTTTTACGAAAGAATGGGTCGCTCTCAGGAGCTCAGTGAATTCAAGCGTGGTACCATGATAGGTTGCCATCTGTGCAATAAGACTATCCATGAAATTTCCTTGCTACTAAATGTTCCACGGTCAGCTGGTAGTGGAATTATAACAAAGTGGAAGGAACTGGGAACAACAGCAACTCAGCCACAAAGTGGGAGGCCACGTAAAATTACAGCGCGGGGTCAGGGGATGCTGAAACACACAGTGCGCAGAAGTCGCCAACTGTCTGCAAAATCAATAGCTAAAGACCTCCAAACTTCATGTGGCCTTCAGATTAGTACAACAACAGTGAATAGAGAGCTTCATGGAATGGATTTCCATGGCCTAGCAGCTGCATCCCAGCCTTACATCACCAAGTGCATTACAAAGTGTCGGATGCAGTGGTGTAAAGCATGCCACCACTGGACTCTAGAGCGGTGGAGACGTGTTCTCTGGAGTGACGAATCACGCTTCTCTGTCTGATAGATGTGTCTAGCTTTGCGGCTGCCAGGAGAATGGTACTTGCCTGACTGCATTGTGCCAAGTGTAAAGTTTGGTGGAGGGGGGATTATGGTGTGGGGTTTATTTTCAAGGGTTGGGTTTGGCCCCTCAGTTCAAGCGAAGGGAAGTCTTAAGGCATCAGCATAGCAAGACATTTTGGACAATTTCATGCTTCCAACTTTGTGGGAACAGTCTGAGGATGGCCCCTTCCTGTTCCAACATAACTGAGCACCAGTGCACAAAGCAAGGTCCATAAAGACATGGATGAGCAAGTTTGAGATGGAGGAACTTGACTGGTCCTTACCTCAACCCAACAGAACACCTTTGGGATGAATTAGAGTGGAGACTGCAAGTCAAGCCTTCTCATCCAATATCAGTGCCTGACCTCACAAATGCACTTCTGGAAGAATGGTCAAACATCGCCATAGACACACTCCTAAACTGCGTGGATAGCCTTCCCAGAAGAGCTGAAGCTGTTATAGCTGCAAAGGGTGGGCCAACTCAATGTTGAACCCTAAATGACTGGGATGCCATTAAAGTTCATGTGCGCGTAAAGGCAGGTGTCCCAAATCTTTTGGAAATATAGTATATGTGTATATACAGTGTATATATATATATATATATATATATATATATTTCTTGGTTTTAGTTATCCTTTAAGATTCACTTCATCATCACAGGGCTCCCTATTAGGTGACAGCAGTGATATTTTGCTTGGATAAATGGGTACCTTAATTGGCTGGTGATCTTAATATTTTCTAAAAACAAGACCTGAAAAAACCTTAACCAAATCCTGAGCCAAAACTCAATGCAATAACTTAATTTTTGTCTAGATTTACTGCATAAGAAATGAAATGTTATCATTGTGTGAAATTATTATTGTTGAAACTGATCACACGTTTTGATAAACATTGTTAATTGCTTTATTCACGTACGCCATAGTGGTAACTTGCATTATTAATAATATTATAATGGTAATTGTCAAGTAAAGTGTTTGCACATACTGCTGACATTTATAAATACATAATCTCTGAATGGTGAGATGATTAGCCTTCATTAAAATGTATGTTAATGGAGGATTTTTGCCTCACACAAATCTTAAATACAGTACAAGTAAGACAGGTAGAGCATTTCTTGTGAATGTGCAGGAAAGTAAAAATGTAGGCAATACCTAGTGCTGGAACAAGGTTATCTAATGCCAAACTGCACAACCTCCATCCTGGTTTATTATGCATCACCTATTCACCTCTTAAATTGGGATTCCATTCCCAGCTATCACCATGCTTGTCTCAGAATCACTGTACAGCACCAGATCTGCCTTTCAGGTTGGCCTGACCTGGAAGGGCTCAGTAATGTTGTGGTGCCATCTTGCTGTGTGTTCTCTGCCTCTACCATTCCCCTTGCACTGATTGAGAAAAGCAACAAACACACTAGAGGTGAATTGAAATGCATTGCACCAAGGATGGTACTAGTATTGTAAAAGATCTAAGGCATTCAAGTGCACAATAGGAAAGCAATTCTGTGGCATGCACAGTGTGGTTGGTAAGGTCTATGTAACATACAACAAAGTGCAAAGAATATGGCAGTCAGGACTGTGTGCTCACTATGCCCACTTCATTGTGAAACATACAAAATAGTGTATAGAATGTAAAGGTCAGGACTATGTAGCACAGAGAGTGCAAGGCTCAAAACAAAGTGCGCAACCCCACATACCGGAAATGAAGAATGAGTGTTCTTCAAAAAGTTTCAGCACTTTTACATATACAGTATATATGTAAAAAAGTTCTGAAACTGTTTGAAGACCCCTCATAGTTTTTAGCCTGAAATAAAAATTAGAGTGTAGTTTAACAGAATAGGTAGTCGAACAAATGATCAGCAAGAGAGTAATTGTAAATGCAGTTTACTAAACAGGTGCAAAAGTTAGAAGCAGTAATGCAAAACAGGTTAGGAACTGAAAAAAAATTAATACACTGATTAATGAACGATGCACAAACATGGACTCTTCACAGCAAAGTCCTGTGGCTCAATCAGAACATTTAGCTACATAGTGTAGTCTCTATAAGGCTCTATAATACCAAAGAGTCACGTTAAGAATCAAAATTTCAGTAAAGCAGTTCTGTACACAACTACTTGCATTTACCTTCACAGTGAAATCCAGATTAGCTTTGGTAATACATGTGAACAGTTGGAGGGATCCAAGTCCAATAGACAAACTCCACTGGAATTGAAGTACTCTGG